AAAGTTGTTGCAATTCAACCTGAAGTCTATGAAAGTGACATCTTTTTTACATCTTTGCCTCTGTTGTATGTCATCAATGAATTTTTAAAAAATTTGTATTCATCTGTATGTATAAAAATAGACCACCACTGTTTAACTTTGTACTTTTTTGGCCACAAGTGAGATTGAGTATATTTTCAAATGTTAATTAGCCTTTACATTTCCTGGTTTGTGAATTTCTTAATAGCCTCTGGCCATTTTTCTTTCTTTCTTCTTCTTATTATTTAATTTAAAGGACAGTAGTAGCTCTATGTCACATAGATTGAGTAAGTGTATAAAACTTTTTAGAAATTTGGAGTATTTCATCCTTTCTAGGAGCCCTGCCTCCTGTGTTGCTAGGCTTTTTTTTTTTTCCAGAGTGGTTGACATAAGCTGAGAAAGCTGATCAGCAGGAGGCCACAGCATTAGAAGAAATAGGATCTTAAAACAGAGAGAAAGTAACTTTTCCTAGATAGGGAAAAAGATGAATACCAAGATCTGCAGGAAATGTTTGTAATCTAACCAATGATAACAGAGAATGACTATATTAAGGAGCACTGGATTTTTCTTTTAATTAAGTTTTTTGGTACATTTATTTAGGTAAACAATACAGTTACATTCATCATTGGGATCTTGTACCTTTACATGATGGATCTTGGTTCTTATTTTTTCCCCATTCCCCTGCCCTCTCTTCACCCCCTCCACCCTTCCCTATTTACAAATACTTTGTTTCAATTTTTTCCTTTTCTCACATTTTTTCTTTTTTCTTTCCTTTCCCCTACCCCTCCCACTTCCCCTGCTCCTTTAGACCTTTTTTTCCTATTTCACATTATCAATTATACATTTTGATCCTTATTTACACTTTTAGTTTTTCACATCAGAGAAACTATTCAATATTTACACATGTGTGTCCTATTTATTTCACTTACGAGTATTGCCTCAATGTGCATCCATTTAGCTATAAATGTCTCTAGTTTCTCATTCTTTATGGCTGAGTAGTACTCCATTTCTTAAAAAACTACATTTTCTTTATCCAGTCTTCAGTTGATGGGCACTTGGGCTGTTTCCAAGTTTTAGCTATTACAAACTGAAGGAGCACTGGATTTCATTTTTTTTTTGTACCAGGGATTGAACTGTGGACCTTGCGCTTGCATGGCAGGCACTGGAACCACTGAGCTAAATCCCCGGCCCCAGGAGCACTGGATTTAAAAATAATTCCATAACTTTTAGTATTGTAAGTTATACTATGATAAATATTCTTATAACTAATATGTATTTTTGCAAACTATTAGTTACATCCTCCTTAGTGAGCTTTCTAAGTAAAGCTGTGAAGGCTTTTTAATATATATTGTTGAATTACTTATTAGAAAAATCATACAAATTTAATTTTTACCACTCATTTATTACTTTCCTCTGCCTCCTATCCATTACTAAGTATTATTAGCTTCTTTTTTAGTTGGATAAAATATATATAATGATATGTGTTTTTGTACTTTCTTTGATTACTCCTGGAGTTGGCATTTTTCATGCAGGTATTCATGATTCATATATTATTTAACATAATTTATTGGGCACCTGCAATATTTCAGTCACTGCTCCAACTGAACATAGACTGATAGAGCTTCCATTTTAGTAAAGGGACAGACAACAGACAAATGTATACAGTACTGTAATGTCAAATGGTGATGAATCCCATAAATAAGGAGAAAGACAGTAATAGTAGAGTGCTATTTTTTTTTTTGGTATGGGCGATCAAACTTGGGACTTTGTGCTTGCGAGGCAGGTGCCGGAACCACTGAGCTACATCTCTGGCCCTAGAGTGCTATTTTTGATTAAATAATCAGGGATTAACTAATTCCCAGTCTCTAAAAAGGTAGCATTTGAGCAGAAAAAACAGGAGTTCAAATGAAATTTAAATGACTATATCAGACTTAGTTTAGTTATTTCTTCTTTTAAGTTTTTGTCAAAGCTGTGCATATACTTTTCTGTTCGAAAATTAATGTCCTTCAGTTAACGCATGTCAAAACAAACTTGAGTTACTGGAATAAACTCCATTTCCTCATGATATTTTATTTTATTTTTTGGAACCGGGGATCGAACTCAGGTCCTTGCGCTTGCACAGCAGGCTGCGAAACCACTGAGCTAAATCCCCAGCCCCTCATGATATTTTATATGCTGTTGAATTTAACTTCATTTATATGCTGTTGAATTTAACATGTTTTAAGAATCTTTGTGTGTATGTCCATGAATGATTTATTAGTTCACTGATGATATCTTTGCTTTCATAGAATGCAGGCAACATTTAAGTCTTTTTAATATTTTGTAATAGTTTTGGTATTATTTCTTCAGAGTTCTCCATTAAAGTCATCTGGGCCTGTATTTCTTTTGTGGGGAATGTTTTTTGACTATAAATTCAAGTTCAGTTTCTTTAATAGATACAGGGCTATGCAGGTCACCTATTTCTTTTTAAGTGAGGTTGAGTGGTTGTACCTTTCAAGAAACTTGTCCTTTTCATCTGTTTTCTAATATATTGATATAAAGTCACTCATAATATTCCCCTGCTATTCATTAAATATCTGTAGAGTATTATGTAATATTATTCATATATTCTTGATATTGGTCATTTGTGCCTTCTGTTTATTACTGATCTCTTTTGTTGTAGATTTATTGATTTTCGTTGACTATGGTGGCGCACACCTGTCATCCCAGCACTTGGGAGGCTGAGGCAGGAGGATTATTGTGAATTCAAGGCCAACCTGAACTACATAGCAAAACCCTGTCTCAAACAAAAGTAGATCTATTGATTTTATAGAATTTAAAATAATCTTTAAAAAAAACTTTTGTTTTTCTCTTTTGTTATCCTGTTTTCCGATTCTTGATTTCTACTCGTCTTTTTTATTTTCTTCTGCTTACTTAGGACTTATTTTTCTGCTCTCTTAAAGTAAAAGCAGAGACTTTGAGACTTTTCTTCTGGTGTAATATTGTTTAGTGCTATAAATTTTCCTTTAGGTATGCTTTAGCTACATATGAAAAGTTTTGATACATGTCCTTTCATTTCAAAATTTGCCATTTTCCTTTTTGGTATCTTCTTTGACTTATAGATTAACTTTGTTTCCAATATAGGGGTTTTCCAAATACTTTCTGTTGCTGATTTCTAATTTAACTCCACTGGAGTTAGAGAACATATTTTATATGATGTGAATAATTATAGTAGACACATTGAGACTTGTTTTATGTTCCAAATATGCTATATTTGAAAAATTTCCTAACCTTACTTGCCAAGAATGTGTATTCTGCTATTATTGGGTAGAGTATGCTGCAAATTTCAGTCAGGTTAAGTTGGTTGATAGTATTATTCAAGCCTTATATATACCCTTACTGATTTTTTGTTTGCTTATCAATTATTGAGAAAATGATTGCTTAAATCTTTAAATATTGATGGATAGGTATATTTCCCTTTGAAGCTGTGCCAGTTTTTACTTCATCAGGCGGCGGAACCACTGAGCTAAAACCCTGGCCCCTCATTCAGCTTTCTTTTGACCAGTGTTAGCATGGTTTCCCTATCTTCTTACATTTTAATAATGGATACTAATACTGTGTTCTAATACTTTTTTATGAGCTTTGTAGATACTGATTCATTTGATCCTGACAACACTCTAAGGTAGCACTATTATTATCATCTCCATTTTGCAAATGAGGACTTTAATTTCAGAGACCTTTGGTACTTCATCCACAACTATACCCAGTGAAAAGTTTTAAACTGAGGTAGTCTAACTTGAGAGCCATACTTTTACTTACTATATATAGTATTTTTCATAGTCTTCTTGAAATCATACTTGTAGGTATGTAAGATATTTAAACTTCAGTGTGGCCAAATCATAAATTACTGTTTTCTCTCCAACCTTCATTGTTCTCTTACAGCAAATTTGCTGCTTTTTCCCCATTTTATATGTTAGTATTTTCCTTTTCCTTTCAAGCATGTAAGCCTGAAGTCCAAGTCATTTTAGATGGCTACTTCCTTTTTTTCACCTTCCTGCAGTTGATCCTGGTATCTTTTTGCTTTTTTTTAATTAACTCTTGAATTAGTGATTCTACTCATTTTTATTGCCTCCCTTTAAGTCTGTCATTATCTCTCATGAGGAATAATTTTATTCTCTTCTCAGAGATAGCTTGTATGCTCACTGATACCTTAATTATCTTAGTACTTTTAGATTATTAGTTCATGTGTGTTTCTTCCCATTCCTTCTTATAAAGAAGGAACTTGAGTTATGATTTTGTGCTCTCGGTACCTGTCCTAATATGTGACCTAAAATTAATGTACAATAAATATTTTGTGAATGCATCCATTTGTCATTAGATAATATCTTCAGTATCATCTTGAACATGAGATGAAATCAGTTTTCTTTTAGAAAAGTGTCAATCAATGCTTTATTTTTCCAAAAGCTTAAAGTAATTTTTAAAATTGTAGTAATCAAGGATAAAATGAATACTTATACAGTTACATATTATCTCTACAATATACTGTATTGTAAAACCAATAACTGCAAATTGTTAGACTCTTATGATTTACAGTAGTCTAAATCTTTAATTTTATTTTCAAGTATGAAAAATTGATTACATTTTCTTGGTTGCAGTAGAACAGCAATTAGAGTTTATATTTTTTCCATAATGCAAGAATGAGAATGTGTTATAACTTACATAAATCACTGCCATCTCAGAAAGAGTGTGTCGAAAGGGAGGAGGCAGGTGTTATAAATCTTTTTTCTTTGGTAGAGAATATAGTATCTGAATGTTAATATTTAATAACAGAAAGTAATAGGAATCTGAACATGGATACATGGCAGTGGGTACAATTCCCTAATTTTTAAGGATAGTTAAATTTCCTATTAATTTTTCTGCACCAAATAAATGAAGTTGTTCTGAGGAGAATGAATGAAAGACGACGATCATTTTCTACGTGACTAAAATTTTCATAATGCCACATGCTGCTGGCTGTGGGACTGTCAGGCTTCCTTTTGTTTTCCAAAGCATGATTCTGCTTAACAGTTAACTCTGCGATTGTGCTTCATTTGCAGCATTTGGCGAGGCCCCAATGTGAACTGCACAGACAGTTCGGGTTACACTGCTTTACACCACGCAGCCTTAAATGGACATAAGTAAGTGCCACTAATTTGGACTGGAATCCTTGTACATTTAGTTATATGTGATGGTTTTAATTACATGAGGATACCTTTCTCCTGCTGCATGAGTCCACTGATCCTAGGTGAATTTGGAGAGGTAGCAGATGACAACAATGACAAGTCAAACACCATAGAGCATGCTTGTAATCCCAGCTACTCAGGAGGCTAAGGCAGTAGGTTGGTAGGTTCATGACCAGCTTGGGCAATGGTAGAATGTCCCTGAGTCTGATCCCTAGTACCACAGAAGAGAGAGAGAGAGGGATGGAGGGAGGGAGAGAGAGAGAGACAGAGAGAGAGAGAGACAGAGAGAGAGAGAGAGAGACAGAGAGAGAGAGAGAGACAATGAATTTGGTATCTTAAGTTGGCATTTGAATAACTAATATTTTTGGTCTGATTAGTTCTTTCTTGGATAAAGACATTAACTAGCTAAAGTTTACTTCCATTCATTTTATAATCTAGAAGTCTAGAAATATGTGGGAGTGAATTCAGTATGTAAAGAAGCTTTAGTCAAAAAATTAAATGTAATTTTTGATCATGTGGAGCATATCTGCAGCTGCACCTCCTTTTCAGTAACAGAAGTAAAAAGAGTTAAGAAAATCTGAACTCAAAAAAGCAATACTGAATTTTGGAGTTTCATTGGTTTGTTAATTCTGCAGCCATATGAAGATGAAGAGTAAACATTTTTTATCTGTGATTTAATTACAGAGAATCTTGCTTTTGGAGCAGACATTTGAATGTTGATCTTTCCAGTTTAATTTTTCTCAGAACGTATACTGAACTTCTTGGAAGATATTTCATATTAATCAGAAATTATTTATATCTCTCTGAAATGAATGAAAACTAAGTATTGTAGCAAAAATCAAAACTTTCAGAATTTCTGTTTTTCCCTGCAGTTATATGTTTTATCTTCAAGCTGCATAATATTGAAATCATTCAAATTGGATCATTAATTTAATTTGATATTTTGTTTTGCCCTTGGGAAATGGAATTATTTTTCCTGTGATCCCTATCAGCCATATTTACTTTAGAATTTTAGAAATTTTTTGTGTAAATGTGTGCTGAGGATTAAAACCAGGCTATTGTACATGCTAAGCACTCACTTTACTACTGAGCTATGTCCCAATCCTGGAACATTATAAAATTTCCAAATGCTGGATATAAGAAATATTGCTGCTTTATATTTAAGATATAAGGAATATTTTGCTGCTTGCTATTCTACAGACATTAACTAGCAATATAATTTAATATTTCATGTCAAGTAACAAAACAGTCAGTATGTGCATTCACTTGGTGATACTTCTGCAGAAGACTAAAGGTTCCATGTAAATGATCATAAAAAGTAATAACACAGAGTTGATATTTTAGTGTTGACTACTCTCCTAATTTAGATATTAAAGAAAGTACATGAAGTTTAATTTGTTCCTCATGAGCCTAGATGAAAAAGGCCTATTTAGTTCATATGACATGGATGTATTGTAAGAAAGATTAATGACAGTATGTTGGTTAATCATTTATTATATTTATGATTAAGTAAAACTGATAGGTACTTATTTAATTAGAGATAAGACTTTATATTTCAAAAATATATTTTCATACTGGAAATCTGATCTCGGCCAGTTCATTAGCTGGTATCTCTGAAAAAGAGGTAAAGCTCCACTTAAATAAAAATTTAAAAGAAAGTTTAAATTTTAAAACAAGCAAATCTAATAAAAGAAATTATTTTAATTAAAATTTAAATAAAATTAATAATATTTAGTTAGGATATTTGTGCTTACCTAAGACAGTTTCACAAATATCCAGATTATTATTTTCTGATTTAGATATCAGATGGCGATAGTACTATATAATACAGATGATTGGTAGGATACTTTTTAAAATAGGCATTTTTCCCACTGTATCATAAATCTTCTTGATGAAAAAGCATGCTTGTCATACATTTATATTTTATTAGAAAAGGTCAATAAAATTTGAACTAAAGAACAAATGGATTCTGAATGGTTTGAGAGTAAAAGGAAATAGAATTGATAATCTCCTCAGTTTTTCTTAACATTTGAAAAGTACATCAGTCTATTTTAGCCTTACTGTAATGAGGGCTGGCAACTTTGTAGTGAAAAGGTGCTTGTTGAGCTTACAGTTCTGGTCCAAGGTGTAGGGCCTGCATCTTTTGTTTATCTTCTTTCTGGCAGAGTCCCAAGGTGGTGCAGGGTGTCACATGGCCAGAAATAGGGGGCAGGCATATACCCTGTGTGTCTCTTCTGATCTCTTTACTTTTTTTCTTATAAAGCCATCATACTTAATCATACAAGCTCTACCCTAATGATTTTATCTAATCCTTCTCACTTCCCAAAGGCCCTATCTCTAAACATCACAGTTTGATTAGGTTTCCACCTTCTTAGTACTTTACAGCGGTGGTTAAATTTCAACACAGAACCCTTGGCGGACACAAACTATCCAAACCATAGCACAAAGAAATACTTTATAGGAGAAAAAGGTTTGGATTTTTTTTTTATCTTGCTCAGGCATTAAGAAATGAGATAAAAATCTGTCTCACAATTACCTTTAATTTGAAGAAATCTATTTTATAGTAGAATAAATCCTTCTTTTAAAATTCAGGTAGTTTCACCAGCTTCGTGTGACTTTTACTTTACCTTTTAAATGCTGAAATTTTTCAGTTAAGGAAGTTACTGAAATTGCTCAACATCACAACAGCTTGCTTTGAGAATAGCTTTTTGATTATATATAATTTTACAGTCATGTCTTTCTCATTTGATTTACCCCGTAACCCTTTGAGACGGTAATAAGCTGTAATTTCTAAATCCTGTATTAGAAATATCTGAAAGGGAAATGTAGGTTATTTGATTTGCTCAAGGTAACTAAGTTAGTAAATAGTAGACGTGACTGGGGCTTCAAGCCAAATCTTCTGGTCTTAACTGCTCTTGTTATTCATAGCTGTTGATTGAATCCTCATTACCTCATTGTAGTTATTTACTTATCTCAGAATGGAAGGCCCTATGTAACAACTCTTATGTGGCAGAGATGGGGAGAACCACGTGAGCTGGTTAACCTTCAAGTTTCCTTCTGATTTTCAGATTTCTCTTTTTCAAAGGTGACTTTTTTCTGTGTATTTTCACCTACAGGATTTTACTTTTACTTAGACCAATACTAATATTTGCATCGTGTTTTATTATTTATCAAGTGATTTCCGTGATCTCATTTAGGCTCTTAACAGTCCTGAGTAGTAGGTATTATTATTACAGTATCTTCTACATAAAAGAAAAAAATGGGACTAAATCATTTCTCCAGAATCATACTATTAGATAGTTTGCCTAGCTGAAACTCAAAGCTTTAAATTCAGAACTCATAAAATAATGCTGATTTGTAAAAATATATGTTAAGATAAAATTTATTTCTTACTTTCTCAGAAATCTTATAATTAGAAAGTTTGAGACTCCTTGGAACTTTTTAAATGTTTCTATAACACGTTCTCTGTTCTTTCATCATGATTTCATACAGTAGCAACCAAGTCCAGTGTTTAGGCCACATTCTGGGGCGTATGTTTTACCATTTACTATCATTTTATGTTGTTATCATGCCTATTTTTCATGTAAGCTATCAGAGTTCTAACCTTGCTTCTATTCAGACTTCTCCAACTTTACTCATTTGTTACTCGCAGGGTCTGATTTTATGAAAAATTTAACTTTAGATTTTTCTTTTATATTCATTTTCCACATTGGTGATTCATTATATAAGAAATAACTTTAGTGTATAATGTAGTTGTATATATGTACATATTATTTGTCTGTTTGTTTAGGTTTTTATGTAGTGAATTATTAGAATTAACTTCTTAAATGCATCAAATGAAAAATATAGTTTTGGTTTCTAATTCTTGTTTTTGATTGTTTTATATAAAATTCAATATTATATTCACAGAATTATTAATTAATTCTTTATGAATTCACATAATTATTCTTTTATTTCAAGATCTTTACTCTTTTAGTATATGTGCTGCCAAAACGAGCACAAGATCTTTACTTTTGAAAACGTGTTGGGTATTGAATACTGAATCCTAGAGATAGGGAATACTGAGTATGTGTTGAAATTGCATTAATTGTGGATCTAGTCTCCTAAATGGATTTCCTTCCAGAAAATCATTTCTTGGCCTGAAAGAGAAAGGGAAACACATAGTAATGGATAACACACACTCAAAGTGTATTGGGTACCATGGCTGAAAAGTTATTAAACTTTTTTTTAAATCCTGAGATAGTAGTATATCTAGCTTTTCAGGATTCCTTCTCTACTTGGCTGACTCTCTCTTTTAAATGCATCTTAAGTAATGTAGTCCAATTCTCTATAGGAATGATATATAAAATTTCTCAGTGTCCCTTGGTATTATAACTTTTTTTTTGTAAGCAGGGAGTACCCTTGTAACTTCTGCTTTTCTTTCAGGCTAAATTTCAGATGTATGCTATCTGGAAGTAACTCATTTAAAAAAATGAAAGAAAGTATCCATTTTATTTATTTTAATGAAATGAGATATGCTTTACATAAATGAATTCTATTATGTAGTTTCACTGGGGCTGGGATGTAGTTCAGCATAGAAAAACTGCCTGGTGCAAAGCACTGGGTTTCACCCCCAGCACTGCAAAAACAAGTAATTTTACTGGTTAGTCAGAGGTTGTGTGTGTGTGTGTGTGTGTTTGTGTGTGTTTGTGTGTTTACACATGAATATGTGGTGGTGATTGTTTTTTAGGTAAGTAAAATAGCATGTCAAATAGGCAAATTCTTATAACCAATTTTATGATTTAATACGTGGAACGATTAAATTACTAGCCATCATCTAGTATGCTTTCATAATGATCTGTCTAATGAAATCAATGTTGTTCAGCATATTTTCTTTCCTATTGTGTTCTTTTATTTTTTCTTCCTTTTTAGGGACATAGTTCTCAAACTACTTCAGTATGAGGCATCAACAAATGTAGCAGATAACAAAGGTTATTTTCCTATTCATCTGGCTGCCTGGAAAGGAGATGTGGAAATTGTGAAGATTCTTATTCATCAGGGACCATCACATTCCAGAGTCAATGAACAGGTGCACTTGTCAAATGTTTGTTCATGCTGTAATTTACTCTAGAGTTTTGCAAATGCAAAGCCATATTGAAAAATTGATTATTTTTATCTTTACCCTGCCAGAAACCTTTCTATTGCTGAATTTCCTAAAGCTGAAATATGAAAATTTCTTTGGCATTTGGATATGATGCATAGCACTAAGTTGGGCATTTGTGAAGATGTTTTGTTAGTGAGAAAATCCCACATAAAGGAAGTAGTTGTAATATTTTTGCCTGTCTTATATAATCATCCATTTTGTAGCTATTGAATATTTAAACAGAACAGCATTCACATTTATAATGAGAATTAGAGTGTTCCTTAATAAAATTTTAAATGCTAAAACAATGATGATAGCTATCATTTGCATAATCCTTTACCATTTATATAGCACTTTCACAGTTAAGTACCCTTTTTGTGAATCAGAATGCAAGTGCAGTGTATACAGTTGTTAGTCACAAATTTAAAATTTTCCTGTACACACACATGCACAGTAAGTTGAGCAAAATGCCACATGGCAGTATGAAACTGACAAATCAAAGTATTTGCAAGAATATGAAGTCTGTATTACACATAGTGGATGTATTTAAAAAGGAATACCATTCTCAATATTAAAACAGATAAGGGTACAGATTCCAGAAAGTGAAATATGTTCTCTTAGTGCAGTATGATGACAGCATCTTCAGCTCTGCATGCCCCCTACTGTTCCCATTTTGTAAAACTATATTTGAAAACCAGCATGCAGTCCAACAATTGAATTACAACTATGACATTAAGCTGCAGGTTGGCAGCCGTCCAATATCAATGAAAGTAGGTTACTCTAGGGCAAGCACGTCTGATAAAGTATAATTAGCATATTGTTCAAAAGGATATAGACTTTGCAGATCTTTGACTGAAACGCAGACTAAAGAATAAAAAATAACACTAGTTGTACATAGCAAAAGAAAATTTTTTTCAACCAAATACAACATTGAAAGGACTAATTAGGAAAAACATTTTATCACAATAAAAATTTCTGAGTTTATAAAAATGCATATTTAAAAAATGACAATATACTAATCTTTAAAAATATAACATACACAGTTATCTTTATCATCACATCATCCTAAAAGAAAATTTATGGGAATGCTGTTCTCTTGCTGAGAAAACTAAAAGTTAGATCTTTTATAGAATGAGCCATCTGGTGGTTATTCTTAAAATTGAATGATGCAAAACAAACCTAATATAAAATGGGAAAACAATCCAAGGTTAAATATGAGGATACTAGTTTTTACAAACAAAATGTTTTTTTAAATGACATGAAAATAAGGAAAAATATATACTATCCATACATATCTGAAAATCCATGCATAGTTGAAAATTTTACAAGATATGTAATTGTATTGGTATCTTTTTAAGAAACACTTGTTTCTGGTGGCATTGAACAGATCAATAAATTATAAAAACTTCCTTTTTAAAGAGATTGGAATTCAAAGTTCTTTTTTTTTAAAACTTTGATTCCTTTGTGTTAAGGTTTCTTTTGGCAACAAGTTGAAAATTTCTTGAGATTTTTAATATCATACTTTCAATATTTTTTTGTTATACATATTCTCCTATAGTACTGATAGTTTTCCCACTCCATGCTGTTTCTCCTAAAAGTTTCTGATGTGAGAATTTTATATTTATAAGTAATTATGTTTTTATGTAGCTTTATTTATTTTTCCCCCTTTTGAATGGTACAGGAACATTCTAATTAATTATAAACCTTTATGTATTTAAGCAACAGAGGAAAGGAATAAATATGGCAATTGACATTTATTGAGACAAGAGAGGCCAAGCATTGTTCTAAGTACTTCACCTGCAAAAATGTTACTTAATTCAGTCTCACAATAATCCTCTGAAGTCATATTACTATTCACATTTTTATAGATGGGATATCAGGCTCAGTACAGTCACATAATTTGTTTGAGGGCACCTATTACTGAGTGACTAAAACTTAGATTTGAACTCAGGACTCTCTGGCTCCAGGATCTTCTCAACAGTACATTAGTGTTGTCATCTTAAATCCTGTCACTGAAGAGTGTTTACTGTATGCCAGGCCTTGTCCAAAGCACATTATCTACATTATTTTACTAGGCCCCTATGTAGCCCAATGAAGTAGGTGTTTTTTTTTTGGTACCAGGGATCGAACTCGGGACCTTGCGCTTGCAAGGCAGTCAGCGGAACCACTGAACTAAATTCCTGGCCCTACCAATGAAGTAGTTATTAATTATTCTTACTTTATATTTGGGGATAAAGTAACTTGCCCATATCATAACTACTAAGAAACACAGTCAGCATTTGAGCAGTTTCTCTGTGATCCAAAGCCCAATCTTTTAACCAGTAATACACTATGTTTTGATGTTGAAGTTATGCATCCTAATCAGGACTTTGTTCTGATTTCTGAAAATTAACTTTGGTTTCTAATAGGGTAGTTCCCTCTTACCATGGGGGATATGCTGCAGGAGCCCTAGTGGATGGCTAAAACTGCAACAGTACCAAACCCTGTGTGTACTGTTTTCTCCCATATCCCTGCTGTGTTGCCACATAGTACCAGAGTTTATCTTTCCTCTGTGTCGCATGCCCTGGGGCCTCCTTTGCATCATGTTCTTGTACTTTGGACTGTTATTAAGGATTATTTGAACACAAGCTCTGGGATACCACTACAGTTGATCTCTTAACTGAGGTGGCTACTCAGTGACACCAGGTAGCAAATACATTGTGGATACCACTGGACAAAGGTATGCTTCCTGTCCTGGATGGGATGAAGTGGGTGGCACAAGATTTCATTGTGCCGCTCAAGAACAGTGCACAGTTCAAAACGTATGAATTGTTTATTTCTAGAATATGAGACCTTGGCTGCCTGTAATTAACTGAAACTGCAGATAAAGAAATCATAGATAAAGAGGGATTACTGTATAGCTTTCTTTAAAAATAATTCTATGTTTTATATTTAAAGTTTATAAAACATTCCTATAGCTGTCTTAGATATATAAACCAAACTGTAAGGTTTATAGAGAAGGTCATGGAATCAAGAGATTCACTGTTGCTAGTGAGTGGCATGCTAGCACTTCCACCTAGGTCCTGTTCTATTCTAATTTTATTTGCCATAGAATTAGTAGTTTAGAGTGACATAGTTTTGAAAAACAAAGTGGGGCTCTTTTCTGGTTATGGTTTTTATAGTAGTCACATCCTTCTTTTATTAACTGATTTATTATTTTCTTCTGATTTTCTGTATATTCTCTGTACACTGATCTTTCCTCTCCTTTTACCTTCCCTTTCTCTCATTTTTGCCCTTTAACACTGTGGCAAAACTCAGAGCATCCTTATCTCAAAAATATATTAGCTTTGCTATTTACTGAAACTTGAAGTTGTGTTAGATGTTTTACTTTGAAGCAAGGCTTTTTGGTGAAAAGCTTTTGTTAGCCAATTTTGTCATGTTATCTGAGAGTGTCCTTATTTTTCAGAGTCTACTGGTAAAAATGAAGGAATTCAAAATCTTTTAAGAATGTTCTGTGTAGACCTACTAACAATTATTGAGTGAGGCATCATAGCTTATTTACTTCAAATTAGATGTTTTATGTTTTTTAGACTGCTATTGAGTGTGGACACAAGTGTGCAATCATGGCTTTGTAATGATAACCTGGTTTGTTCTCCAGTGATGCGACAGTCCCAGTCTGTGTTGGTTATGGATAAAAATCTGTGAGCATTTTCTCCTGAGTAGATCTTGAACGATCAAAATAATTTCTCTTGAGATTGAATTGTGCTAATTGGTATTATTAAAAAAAACACTCTCAATTTTGTTCTCATATTTTCCTAGGTTAAGGATTTTGGAAAAGTAGAGATATTTTTGAGGAATCATTATTTTATAATTGGCCTTTCTCTTTTCTCAGAGATGCTGTAGCTTGAAAAATGAGATTCAGTCTTTCAGACCAAGGAGAAATTGTGTTGCTCAGGATGCATATGTTGGTGTTATATTTTCATGTTATAAAATAATAAGCCTGTTTTATAAAATAATAAGTAAGCTTGGTTTTCTTATCAGGCTTGTAAAACTTTGCCAGATTTTAAAAATCAGAGAGTCTAAACCTGTACGCAGTTTCTGTGTTAAAGTAGATTATAGTAAACATTCAAACCAAGTGCAGTAATGACTCCCCACAAATGATGGAAGAAATAATATCTTCAGCAGGATTCCACTCCACTGGATCTTAGTTTTTCATTGTCTTTCAGGGGTAGATTTTTCTTCCAGATTTGACTCAAATGCTGTCTTTTAATAATATCCGAAACAAAGTAAGAAGGCTTTCCTAGTGCGTTTTTTCCTCCCTCTCCTCTTTTTTTTAGGTTTTCAGATCTCCACCCTGGACTCTCAGCTTACTTATTTGCATTCTTCTATCATCCACAGTAAGCCTGAGCTATTTCCTGGAACATTAAGATTTGTTCTGAGTTTGAACCTTCCTGTCCTTTTGTTTTGGTAGAAACAGCTATCTAAGCAGGTATTTCCTATAAACTCGTTTGGTCTATTTTGGGCACAGTCCTAAGAAATAAGGCTTTCAGATGACTTGTGTCCAGCATTTCTTCTTTAGAACAAAGCAACACATGGTAGTGTGGCATGGTGAAAAGAGCCTGAGTTTGGGATTTTGACATGTGTAGGTGCCAAAAGATTCTGATTCTCCCATACACATGTATGTAACCTTTTTGAATCTTGGTTCATCATCCATGAAATGGAGATATAATAGCAATCTTGCAGAATTGTTGCAATAGTTAAATGAGACAAATATGGAAAGTTTCTAGACACTGAGCAAATAGGATTAGATAATTGTTACTTTGAAAAGTGGAATATGTGGTGGTTTAGAGCTCTGATATTGAGTGTGGGCTACTGGTTCAAATCCTGGTCCTACCACTGAATGGCTGTATAATCTAAGACCCATCATTCAGTTACTCAGTGCCTTTGTTTTCTCATCTGTAAATGTGAATAATGATAACAGTAGTGTCTATCTCATAATCAGGAGTAAATGACTTGAACATATGTAAAATGCAACTCTGCCTGGTACCTAGTATTAGCTCTAATCTTGGCAGCTGCATTCTCTCCAGAATCTGCCTTTAGGATCATTCAATTTTTATTGCTAAAATGCTTGGTTTACATTTCTCTTGACTGACCCTTCTACCTCCTGACATACCAAGACCCCTTGCTACCTGCCCAAGTGGTCTGCAGGGTCAATCTGTGTTGCACCTGGGTACAGTTTTTTTTTTTAACCTTGCTTAAATTTCTAGGAAAATCTCACTGATTTTTCAACCGAAACATTTATAAACTGCTCAGGTGGCACTGTAATATCCCTTATCTGTGGTGAGTCTAGATCTACTTCTCAATCTGTATGTTTCAAGTATATTTTAGGGTCAGAATATCTCTGTTCTCTTTGCAAAAGAAGCAGTGATTTATATTGTTGGAAAATACAATGAAACCTAATTTGGGAAACCTTTGTATAAATCTTTCATTATCAAGAATTTGTCATCTCAACTATCTTTAGGAAAGCCAGACTATGAAAAGTGCATTATAATTGTAATTAATCTCACTCATTAGCACGTGTCGCAGAGGCGTGATGCCCGCTGCAGAGAACACTGGCCATCTGGGCTCAGCAGGCCACTACTGCTCTGGCTGAGTCATTTATCATTCTTGGAAGTTGGAATGCATGATGCAAAAGTTTGCTTTTTTATATTATAGTGATACAAATATGACTTTTGTGTTTTGGTGCAGTTTTAGGAATTGAAACCAGATCCCTGTGTGTTAGGCAAGTGCTCTACACTAAGCTACATCCCTAACCCAAAACATGATATTTTTTGATATAATGAGTGATAGATATTTTTTAAATGTAAAATTAATTTTTTATAACAAAATTATTAGAGAATAACCATGGTGAATACACTGTGTACTCCATTATATAAAGAAAATGTGGTTTTAAAAAATAAAATGGAGTACTACTCAGCCATGAAGAATGAACTAGAGACATTTATAGCTAAATGGATGCACATTGAGGCCATACTCTTAAGTGAAATAAATAGGACACATGTGTAAATGCCAAATAGTTTCTCTAGTGTGAGAAACTGAAAGTGTAAATAAGGATCAAAATATATAATTGATGATGTGAAATAGGAAGAAAAGGTCTAAAGGGATAAGGGAAATGGGACGGGTAGGGGAAAGGTAAGAAGGGAAAGGAATAAATATGAGAAAATTAAAAACTGGAAACAAAGTTTTTGTGAATAGGGAAGGTGGAGGGGTTGAAGGGAGGGCAGGGGAATGGGAAAAAAAATAAGAACCAGGGTACATCTTGTAAAGGTACAAGATCCCAATGATGAATGTCATCATATTGTATACCTTAAATGTACCAATAAACTTAATGGAAAAAAACCCTACATCTTTTTAAATTGATGGGTACTTTCATCAGATATAAAATTCAGCTAGACACACTAAAATAGGTTAATCTTAAACTTGTGTTTTTAGACATTGCAGGTTTCAAATTACTGTGTTTAGATTTTGATAAGTAATTGAATTTCTGAAAGCATATCTTTTGTGTCTTTGCCTTAAACAGAACAATGAAAATGAAACTGCCCTACACTGTGCAGCTCAGTATGGACACTCAGAAGTAGTTGCTGTTCTCCTAGAAGAGCTCACTGACCCCACAATTAGGAACAGCAAGCTCGAAACACCTCTGGACCTGGCAGCACTCTACGGACGGCTTAGAGTAGTCAAAATGATCATCAGTGCACACCCTAACTTGATGAGCTGCAACACTCGCAAACACACTCCGCTTCACCTTGCTGCCCGCAATGGTCACAAAGCAGTTGTACAGGTGCTGTTGGAAGCAGGAATGGATGTGAGCTGTCAAGTGAGTCTTTAGTTGTGCTTTCAAGGCAATGCTGCTGCACCACATGCTTTTAAGAAATAGAAAGACATGTAAAACATAATCTTTAGCTTCATGCTAATCAGAGGGCTGTCCACATGAGAAATGATTTGTAGATGGCAGTAGTGTATGGCACCATACAATGTAATGTATGTACCAGTAATGGTTGCCTTTCTCCCAGTGTCCAGCACATAGCCTGATATACGGTAGGAATCCAGTAAAGCTGAATGAATGAAACAAAATTCACTTGACATGCATTATGTTTAGCATGCTGACACATTTAGAATTCACTTTTCACAGCTGTTCCCTGAGATTGAGAGCTATTAATTTTCAATTAAGAGATGAGGAATTAGATTAAAAAATTTAAGAAATGTGCCTGAGGACACATGTTTGATAAAACTAGACTGTGAATTAAGTGTACTGATTAAAGTCTAGACCTCTTTCCAATATAATTTACCATCTATACATAACTAATGCAGGAACTACCACCATACCTAAGGCAAGTCAGAAAAAGAATGATTGAAGAAATGTGATTGGAATTGAGCTTTGAAGAAAGGATAACATTTTCATAGGTTTTGTTTCTCCATAAAAAAGGGTTGCCTATTTTTAAAATCTATTTTAAGTTAGCCCCAACTTGAAAGTTGGTCTTTTTTTTAAAAAAAAACACTTTCTCCTTTCATGGTTGCTTCTTGGCTGGCCAGTTAGTGGCAGCATTATCTTCCAACAACTCTTGGTTCTTGTCAGATTGTTACTTTTTCTGTATAATGAGCTACCCCAAATATAAATATTTAATATAATAACAAGTTAGCTCATAAATCTGGGACTAGCAATTTAGTCTAAGCTCATCTGGGTACTTTTGGTCTTGGGCTTTCTCATGTGTGTTGGGTCAGTTGTAAGTCAGATCAGTGTCTCTGTTACAGAGATTGGCTGGATATTGTCTGGGTGATGGAGTGACATTATCATGTGTCTATCAAGATCCAGTAGTTTAGCCTGGGCTCACTCTCATGGGAGGAGTAAGGTTCCCCAAGAGAATACAGCTGTATAAGGCTTTTTGAAGCCTAGCTTGGAACGCCACACTATCATTTCTGCCATGTACAATTAGCCAAAGCAAGTCAGAAAGGCCACCCAAATTCATGGAGTGGGAAAATAGTTCTGAATTTGAAGAGAGCATGAATTATAAAAGGAGTATGAATACCCAGAGGGAATAGGTATGGCACATTTTGCAAACACCTCCATACTCCAGGTGAAATTATTTCTCCACTGTGGGGTTACTTTTCCTAGGAGTTGTTCAGAGGTTAAATCTTGTGTCTACACTTTTTCTTTAAATTTCTAAAAAGCATATGCTTTTCAGTCTCAGGTTTAAGGCTAGCACACTGACTCAATAGTTCTTTAGAGTTTTGCCTTCCTTATTTTGTTGTTTAGATTTTTTTTTGGTACCGGGGATCGAACTCGGGTCTTTCCACTTGTGCAGCAGGTGACGAAACCACTGACCTAAATCCCCAGACCATTGTTGTTTAGATTTTTGTGGTATGGTATTTCTATTTTTTATTACTCAGTTTTGGCAGTCTTATAAATAAACATATGTTTTTCTGGCCTTTATGTTAGAAAAGAAGTCTCCTCTTAGAGCAGTAGTCAAAGCAGGTCTGCATGTTTTCTTTTATAGGTGACTCACAAAGTTACTTTACCAGCTGTTTAATGATAAAAGTAGATATTTATTGTTGAAATGTGAATTTATCTAATCTGGATTCACTACTTTCGTAACACTGCTGTAATACTTCTAACTTGTACAGACTGCTTTATAACCAAGGATTTTCACTATGTCGGAGATCAGTGAGCCATGGCTAAGATCTTTTCATGTTTTGTCCTAGATGACAAGCCCAGAAGGGAAAGAGTTTGGATTTCATTTTATAAATGTATATTTTTTATGAAAAACATTATATTTTGTGTTTTTGGAAAATTTAAAATCAAGAAGATCTCTGTGGCAATCAGACAAAAAAAATTGGCAATAATGACATATAATAAATGCCAAAACAGAAAGCCTGGAGATATGTGAGGAAAATAAAGATTTTTTTTCCCCTGTGCTAGGGGTTGGAACCAGAACTTTTGCACTGAACTACATCCCCAGCATTTTTTTCTTTTAGTAAAGATCTTACTAAGTCACTAAGTGGACCAGGCTAGGCTTATACTTGCAAACCTCTTTCCTCTTGTCTCAGCCTCCCAGTGTACTGTTATAATATGTGTCCACCACCATGCCTGGCTGACAAAATAAAGATTTAAAAGAGGAGAGCATGGAAACACATTGATGCAAGTGATATTTGAAGAATACTTTGAAAATCCAGTAGGACTTTGAATTTTAGGTGTAATTTAACTTGCTTATGTGTATTACTTACTAAAGAGTATTTAAAAATACTGAGTTTGAATTCTTTTAGATGGAATGTATACTTTCTAAGGTATCAACCTCTTATTTCTTGTGTCACTGCTAATATCATTCCTTTATATTTTGTACACCCCTCCTGTTAATTATATATTAGGGTAAATTGACATAATATATTCAGATCTCTGTGACTACCTGCTCAGAAGTGTCAGGGCTGGTACCTTAGTAGGATGGAACATCTTCTGTGCTGCTATAACCTCTTTTATTTACATTCATTCTATGTAGAATTTCAGGAAGTAGAACTGACAAAAAAGCTCTAAAATATATCTGAATAAGATGAATTTTGCAGATGTAGTTAGCTTTAGTTATGCTTTGCCATTTGTTATTGTTAATTTTGTTCATAGAAAGATTTGTTTTTTGAAGTGAAGGCTGAATGCTTTTCTTTTGAGTGAATGATCTATTATTCAAATTAATTGTCAAAAATTTTCTGCTTTATGGACCTTGAGAAAACAATCCAAAAATTCATTTGGAACAAGAAGAGACCTAGAATAGCAAAAGCAATTTTAGGCAACATAGACATAGCAGGGGATATCACAACCCCCAACTTAAAACTATACTACAAAGCTACTGTGATAAAAACAGCATGGTACTGGCAAAGAACCAGACCTGAGGACCAGTGGAACAGATTAGAAGATGCAGAAACAACTCCAGTCACACTCAGCCACCTCATCTTTGATAAAGGAGCCAAACACCCTCACTGGAGGAAAGATAGCCTCTTTAATAAATGGTGCTGGAAAAATTG